AACCCAACCCAACCCAACCCAACCCAACCCAACCCACCATATCTATCATTGCCTCATAGGTATTTGAGGGAAATACTGTCAACCGCAGCACGGTAAAACATTTCCTGTACCCTATCCTAAGGAGAAGATATGTCAGGATATACCCGAAAGCGTTCCTCAACTTGCCCTGCTTGAGAGTCAAGATCTTTGTCTATCCAGGTAATCTCTGTTAAATGTACAGCTATGTTAAAAATGGATTGAGCAATTTTGTAATCCGAATTGAATAGTCACGTGAAAGAATAAAAAGGGATTGGTTTGTATGACTTAAACAACGCCCTGATAAGAAAGATCGCTGCACATGCTTTACTGTCACCATGACAGCATCTTGCCTAAAAACAAACATTTTTATTGGCTGATCGATGATCTCGTGCTGTGTGGATGTCAAAAAAGATCCTCAATGACGTAACGTGCCTTTGTCAGGTGCCTTGCCGTTTCAAAGTCATAAGATATCTACTATAGTACAGATGGAAAAGTATGAGTGAAAAACGATACGGCAAAGTCCTGGTCGTTCCGTAGCCGTTATTACGCGACGTGATTCGATGATTTATATGACGAAAATGAGAAACCATTTTAGTGTTATGGTATGTCGTACCTTTTACGTGACGTAAGTCAGTACCGTATGTTTCCCACTTATACAGAAACCATTTCCGTTTATATATGTAATGTAAGCTGCAATGGTCTTTAGCACGATATAGTGACAGGAAAGAAACAAAGTCATATTTAGGGTGAACAAGGCTGACGCTATTTTCTGATTTGAGGTGAATATGTAAATAGCTACTTTATTTGTCAATAAACTAGAACTAAAACTATATTGGCTAATACATAAATAAGATCTGGGAACAAGAACGTCACACGCACAAAGGAAAACATGATTTCGTATTTCAGAGGAAGTTTTGAGCACCTAATATTTTTTTTGAAAAGCGTACGCTATTTTCTTCGACCTCATTTTCAGTTTTTCCTGTCTTAGCAGCGTTTTTCTTCTATTTAAACGAGTTTAGTCGGTCACTAATACTAAGTTACAATATTTTTCATATTATAGACTAAACGTCATCTACCATTTTGTCGAGTTTAGTCGGTCACTAATACTAAGTTACAATATTTTTCATATTATAGACAAAACGTCATCTACTATTTTGTCAACAAATTCTGGTTCTGAAGGCACCAAAGGCCTCCACTTCTCATATACTCAGACTTACCAAGGACAAACTGTTTCATACGCAGTGACATTATCCACAACATCTTTGACTTGGCAGCATTCATTTTTCCTTCCTACTGGATGGCATCAATTGGTAATCAAATGGAACAAGCGATGGGGGCTTATAGTTGATATAGATAAACAAATATTAACAAAATACAACATACAACGTACTGGACTTTCAGCCAAAAATCATAAAACAGGATTAAGGAAGGTGGTGATCGGAGATATGACGAGCGGAAACGGACAGGAAAACCTGCAGATTAGTGACTTAAAGTACTGGTCAGCCCTGATAAGTTATTCATATGTCTGGTATTTATGGTATACAAGTAAGTAAGGTTCAAACAATCTAGTCTATTATGCACGAATTGTCTCCTTTAGTCAAAGACGTAAGACCACAAGTTTTATTGCCTCATGGAGGGGAGCTGGGGTTCGTTCGTTCGTTCGTTCGTTCGTTAGTTCGTTCGTTCGTTCGTTCGTTCGTTCGTTCGTTCGTTCCTTATATCCCAGTTTACAATCAAAGTAACTAACTTCTGTGGATTTACCTCTTACTTGAAGAATTGTCCGCATGTGATTGTCACATGTGATTGTCATGTGACTGTCATGTGATTGTCATGTGATTGGCATGTGATTGTCATGTGATTGTCATGTGACTGTCATGTGA